AAAATTTGTACATATCTTACTAAAGATATGCTAATTACAAAAACCTACGTCTGGCAGGCTGGTCGTGGTACAGGGGGTAGCGCCACGGGGGTAAAGTGGTGAAAATAAGTAAAACTTTTTCTCATTTCATACCGGTCAAAACCTTTAAAAGTTGAAAGTTTACATTCACACAAATGTAAAAATGCACGTCTGGCAGTCTTAGGCTGGGACAAAGGTCGTCTGGCAAGGGGTTAAAGGGGTAAAAAAATCGGATTCGCTTATCTCATTTCATACCGGTTGAAACCTTCAAAAGTTGAAAGTTTACATTCACACAAATGTAAAAATGCACGTCTGGCAGTCTTGGGCTGGGACAAAGGTCGTCTGGCAGCCCTTTGAAGATGCTCCGCGCCAGCCCGAGATTTCACAGGGGGCTGATAAACAGTGTGACCTAATCTCATTTCATACCGGTTGAAACCTTCAAAAGTTGAAAGTTTACATTCATACAAATGTAAAAATGCACATCTGGCAGTCTTGGGCTGGGACAAAGGTCGTCTGGCAAGGGGTGAAATGGGTAAAAAAATCGGATTCGCTTATCTCATTTCATACCGGTTGAAACCTTCAAAAGTTGAAAGTTTACATTCACACAAATGTAAAAATGCACGTCTGGCAGTCTTGGGCTGGGACAAAGGTCGTCTGGCAGCCCTTTGAAGATGCTCCGCGCCAGCCCGAGATTTCACAGGGGGCTGATAAACAGTGTGACCTAATCTCATTTCATACCGGTTGAAACCTACAAAAGTTGAAAGTTTACATTCATACAAATGTAAAAATGCACATCTGGCAGTCTTAGGCTGGGACAAAGGTCGTCTGGCAAGGGGTTAAAGGGGTAAAAAAATCGGATTCGCTTATCTCATTTCATACCGGTTGAAACCTTCAAAAGTTGAAAGTTTACATTCACACAAATGTAAAAATGCACGTCTGGCAGTCTTGGGCTGGGACAAAGGTCGTCTGGCAGCCCTTTGAAGATGCTCCGCGCCAGCCCGAGATTTCACAGGGGGCTGATAAACAGTGTGACCTAATCTCATTTCATACCGGTTGAAACCTTCAAAAGTTGAAAGTTTACATTCATACAAATGTAAAAATGCACATCTGGCAGTCTTGGGCTGGGACAAAGGTCGTCTGGCAAGGGGTGAAATGGGTAAAAAAATCGGATTCGCTTATCTCATTTCATACCGGTTGAAACCTTCAAAAGTTGAAAGTTTACATTCACACAAATGTAAAAATGCACGTCTGGCAGTCTTGGGCTGGGACAAAGGTCGTCTGGCAGCCCTTTGAAGATGCTCCGCGCCAGCCCGAGATTTCACAGGGGGCTGATAAACAGTGTGACCTAATCTCATTTCATACCGGTTGAAACCTTCAAAAGTTGAAAGTTTACATTCATACAAATGTAAAAATGCACATCTGGCAGTCTTGGGCTGGGACAAAGGTCGTCTGGCAAGGGGTGAAATGGGTAAAAAATCGGATTCGCCTATCTCATTTCATACCGGTTGAAACCTTCAAAAGTTGAAAGTTTACATTCACACAAATGTAAAAATGCACGTCTGGCAGTCTTGGGCTGGGACAAAGGTCGTCTGGCAGCCCTTTAAAGATGCCCCGCGCCAGCCCGAGGTTTGATAGAGGGTTGATAAACAGTGTGAGTTCATCTCAGTAATGTAAGTAAAGTTGCGTAACTCGCCGCTTTTTTCATAGTAATATATAACATATTTTTTATTTGCATTTTGTTTATAAACATTTTTTTAATGACATTTTTATGTTTTAACATAAAATTATACGTTGCATAAATAATATTTATTTATATGACTTAAGATCACATTTTTTGTTTATATAAACAATAATAATATTAAAATAATATTAAAATTAAATAATAATATTTATTTATATGACTTAAGATCACATTTTTTGTTTATATAAACAAAAAATGTGATCTTAAGTCATATAAATAAATATTATTTATGCAACGTATAATTTTATGTTAAAACATAAAAATGTCATTAAAAAAATGTTTATAAACAAAATGCAAATAAAAAATATGTTATATATTACTATGAAAAAAGCGGCGAGTTACGCAACTTTACTTACATTACTGAGATGAACTCACACTGTTTATCAACCCTCTATCAAACCTCGGGCTGGCGCGGGGCATCTTTAAAGGGCTGCCAGACGACCTTTGTCCCAGCCCAAGACTGCCAGACGTGCATTTTTACATTTGTGTGAATGTAAACTTTCAACTTTTGAAGGTTTCAACCGGTATGAAATGAGATAGGCGAATCCGATTTTTTACCCATTTCACCCCTTGCCAGACGACCTTTGTCCCAGCCCAAGACTGCCAGATGTGCATTTTTACATTTGTATGAATGTAAACTTTCAACTTTTGAAGGTTTCAACCGGTATGAAATGAGATTAGGTCACACTGTTTATCAGCCCCCTGTGAAATCTCGGGCTGGCGCGGAGCATCTTCAAAGGGCTGCCAGACGACCTTTGTCCCAGCCCAAGACTGCCAGACGTGCATTTTTACATTTGTGTGAATGTAAACTTTCAACTTTTAAAGGTTTTAACCGGTATGAAATGAGAAAAAGTTTCACTTATTTTCACCACTTTACCCCCGTGGCGCTACCCCCTGTACCACAACCAGCCTGCCAGACGTAGGTTTTTGTAATTAGCATATCTTTAGTAAGATATGTACAAATTTTCAGCCGGTATGAAATGAGATAGTAAATTTCGTCGCTGGCTCCCGGACTATAAGTCATTCTTTAAGCAGAATGACACCAAACCTCTTAAAAATTTGACTTTCAAAGTAAGATATAGAATACAAATTTTAGGTAGGATTATTTCTACGCTTTCGAAATTTAAAAATTACATAACACTTCTAATTTTTTCAAAGAATTTTCATCTTGTTATGACACATATGTATATAGTCTAATGCATTTAAATTAACAATAAAAAATTGCTGCCAAGTTTTACTACCTTCACGTGTATTTTCACATATGTTTATTTGTTATCGTTTCATGATTACTGTGCTTTCTCATAGATATTAAAATATTTATTTAAAAACAAAAAATTGACGTTTTATGAAATTTATAATTTTTCAAACGGCAATCACTTGATTATATTTTATATAAAAATATTCACGAAATAGATCATTAGATGCGTTCTAAAATTTTTTATAAGAGAGCTATAATATTTTAAGGGTATTATAAAGAGTTTAATTATGAATAAAAAAATTTCAATTTATAAAAGGCTTGTAATTGTATATAAAAGGACACTAGATTATCCACAAATAGATAAACTGATGGGTTTCTAAAAAATTTACAATTTAGCCATAATAGTATAAAGTTAATAAGAAAATTTTTAAATAAAAAAGTATGATTTTTTTTAAATGTCAATAATGTATTCAAATTTTAAATACATGTTAATTATTTTTAAATATATTTATTAAAAAGGAATTTTAAAAGATATGGCCAAAAATCGCACTCGCAAAATTTCTCCAATATAATATTTTCTTTATGAGGAAGCAATTATTTAATTTGTCACATTTATGATTTTAAATTATGTTAAAAATTACAATTTTTATGCATGAAGAGGTATACTATATTAATTATTAATAATTAAAAAGTCTAATTTTTAAAACATAAAAAATATTCCAAAAGAGAATGAACTTACGAATGCAGCAGTAGAGAAGTTATATTTCATAAATTCAAACACGAACGAGAACATCAAAAAGAGACAGCGTGAATTCTTCTCATTTATTTGTTTGCAGTCCCTTGTGTCATGTGACAAGTCAATCTCATTACCAGCAAAGAGTTTAACTAAATATATAAAATATAAAAAATGTAATTTTTATATTTAGACAATCATTGAAATTAATCTGCTCTTTACCTCCGAAGTTTTTGTTAGGTTACTAAGGTAACAAACGAATATTTATGAATGCGACATATTTTCTTATATTTGTAAACTACAAAAATTGTCATTTTTCAAAAAAAATTTCTTGCGTCTGTTACATTAGTACATCGGTGGAATTTGCCTAAGTTGAAAGCAGATTTTATGTATTTTAAATACATTTAATAATTTTTTTGTTTTTTAATAAAGGCAATTTACATAAACAATTGCAAGCAAGAGAATAAGTCTAAAATGGCAACGCTCGAAGAAAAGCGTTGTTGTCAAATTTTTCCCATGCGTTGCTCTATCTATTTTAGACTTATCCTGTAATATTTAATATATTAAATGGTTTTTTTCTTACCTTCAAATCATCTCCGTAATAAAAATGTTATGTCCTTTACAACTTTAAACGACACACGAAAAACTTTATTAAACAACTAAAATTCACTTTGTGTTTTGCACATTTCCGTTTCCAACACGTGTAAATCACGAAGCTAACCCACCGGTTGACCTAACCATACCACGAAACAAAACAGGTGTCTAGGTCTGTTTGTTATGTTCAGTGCTGCCAACTGAAATGACACAATTCTGGATTTTCTTGTCCGAGAAGCAATTTGTTCAGGGTACGGTCACAGCTCAGCTATCTAAGTAGGGTCGTCATAGCAACGTATAAGAGTGAGAGAAATAAAAAATATTCCTATTTCTCTCACTCTTATCTTAGATAGCTGAGCTGTGACCGTACCCTCATTTTTATCTAGTCCCTTTAATAATTTCACTTGCAAAAGTACTATTTGGCCTTTTTCAATTTAGATTTATTATGAAAACGATATATTTTCTTTTGAAAAGATGGACTATGAAAAAGGCAATTCCTTTTAAATTCTTAATGCTATAGAGGTTCTACACACATGTGATAACACCTTAAGTTAAAAACCTCTACCTAACCTAAACTAAAAACCACCTGTCAAAAGCAAACAAAAATAAACATTGATATAAACCAGTATAAACTAAATCTGTTTATTAAATTTGAATTAACTATTCAAGTATAATGACTAAACACAATCGTTGGTGTTTATTACAATGTTTCACTAAAGATGCTGAATTTTATATAGTGAGAAAAAACAGTTTACTAGTGACCGATGAAGCAGAAATAAAAATCGGGGCAAAAATTCAGTTTCCGTATCCTGAAGACAAAACAAATTCAAAAATTAAAATTGGAAAAATCATTATGGAATCGGGTAAGTAGTTTAGATATTTTGAAACCTACATATATATATAAAAAATATATGTATACTTTCAAATTTTGAATTTCTTTAACTATTCATTTGCTTTAAAAATTATGTCTCTAGCACTGCATTATATTTGCAAAAATTTTTGGTTTTTGAAAAAAATCTAAAATATAGTTCTTTAATTATATTAGTATTTTATAATTGAATTCAATAATAAAGTAATTGACAAAATATCTTTTTAAAGGTCGTCTCTCAAATATACAAATTATACATTTTTTTAATAACTTATTTGTAAAAAAATGCAGTTATTAAAACAACTTTTAACTTATTCAATTGTTAACAATTCAATATTAATTTAAAAGTGTCCTAGCTGTTTCCTAAACTTCACTTTAAAAATTGAAAATATAAAATTTGATTATTAACGTTTAATTAATATCGACCGAGTGATAAAATCATTTTACTTTAAAAATTTTACTTTCTTTTGAGGTTAATATATATTATTTTTCTTCAAATTATTGTTTGTTTATTATATTTAATCATGTTAGGTAATGAAAGAGATAATAATAAATAAATACTAATAATATATTTTATTCTCTCAAAATTTTTCTCACTATGTTTAAATATAATATAATGCAATATATTATATATAATGCACTGATTTTTATAAATAATAAATTTTTAGAATCGCAGAAAATAGTACAGAATGAAATGAAAAAGATGAAAATAGAAATGGAAGAGAACGGAATCACGATAGAAGATATAATGAAAGAAGAAAAGGAACAGTATGAAGAAAAACGACAAGAATATCGCTCAAGAGCAAGACAAGATAATATTGATATGGCAAAATTGCTACTACAAGAGTTAGACGAAAGAACTAAACGTGAAGCTAATTTACAGAATAGTATTGTTGAAGCGTTAAATTTAACAGAAGAAACGAATGCTTCAGTTTTGAACATTGAAAGTTTATTTTACGATTTAAACAAAATTTAAACAAAATGTGTTTTAAAAAAAAAAATTTCGGCGTTTCTTATTTTCTTATTTTTGAATGTCACATAATGTAAGTTCAAATATGAAAATTAAACAAAATCTGTATACTTAGTTTATTTGTTGAAACAGGAGATACATTTGTATCTCCTGTACATATGTATCCATTTCATAATAAATAATTAAATGAAACAAAAAATAAAATGACCTGAGAAATTGAATTTCACACATTTTTCGTTATTATCATATGAAATTAGCTGCTAACTTTTATTTGTTACGTTTGCATTTTAAAACAAAATAGGAACGAAAATATAAAAGCGATGTCATTTTCATCTAATTTGCTGCTAGTCAAATCGTGAAATTTATTCAATTTAAAAATTAAACTTTTTTTATTGAAAAATGGATCAAGAATTACTTCTTATTGAGGGCGATGGTTGTTTCACAATTATAAATAAAATGTCAGTCATTTTCGATTCAAGTATTCCGGAACTGAAACGTGGGATAACCATCAAGTATCTTTGGCCAGAATTTTCTGCAGTGCAAAAACGTTACACGGGAACCATAATTGGCATGTCAAGTATGTTTATGCTTTTATATGAATGCTATAATTTTTTTTATTATTTATTCTCTTAGCAACCTAACTTTTAATTATTATTTTCATTATATCATAATTATTATTATTTTATTGAAATTAAAATTTTCTAATTTCAAATTCAAAAATGAGATAGCGAAAAATTTCTATCTTTAGATAAAAGATTTTAGGAAATTTCAATGGATTGGAAATTTACTGAATCCTTTTCGTCTTTACCATATAATAATAAAATCATTAAATTATAATTCAAATGGATATTTTAATTTAAAAGTAACTACATAATTTTTTTACGATTTTATTTGAATATTGTACATGAAAAATGTAATTTTTATTCCTTAGTTTTACTATAAATAAAATGATTAATGACGCAAGCATAAATAATTAAACATTTTTAAAACACATTATACAGCAACAGTTATTTTAAAAATCCTGAAAGGGTTAACAATTTTTTTAATATTAATTTTTATATTAAAATTTTTTTATTAATTTTTAAGAATTCAAAATTAATTTTAAAAATTGTAATATGCTTAAAAATTTATTTACAGACAGCGAGAAAGAATTGCTAACACTGCAAAATCAAAAATTAAAGGAAGCTGGAAAAAGAAGTCAGGCAAAGAAACGAAAACTTCAATGCGACTCTTTTTCTGAAAGTGAGGTATTATTATTATAAATATAATAAAATAGTTTATTTATTTATTTGCATTTTAACGAATATTTTAAAATTTATTGCCTTTCCTAATTAATTTTACAGGATCAATCAAATTTCGATGAATCAAGTTCAAATGTAATTTTTGACAAAATTCAAGAGGCATTGCAACTTAACAAACAGTTAACTAAGATTTTAGAGGATTTAAAAAAAGTAGGTTTAAAATTTATGAAAATATTAATACAATGTTTAAAAGTTAGAAATATTAAAATAAAGATAATCCAAAAATTAAAAAAACAAAAATTATGAAAAGGAGTATGAACTTTAATAAATTATAAAAATTTTATTAATTTAAAATCACTTTTTAAGTAGTAGCAATGTGTTATTTCATAATTTGCAAACGAAATTAATTATTAAAATAATTTGTATATTATTTTATTATTCATTCAAAATATCATTTTAAAAGATATTTTAAATATAATAGATTTGCAATAAAAAAATTGAAACACGAGCAATTCCATACGTGAACTGATCCAATCAAAACAATTAGATATTAAGGAACTTTCCTTTGATCAAATTAAGAATTAACATAATTTCTACAAAAATTAGGCGATTGTAACTTTCATATAGTACATTTTAAAGCATTTATTGTGTTCTTTTCAATTACAAAACTCTTTTTTTAAAATATTATTTAACCCCTGTTTTTTCTAAAATAAACTTTATTTTTCAATTTTTACAAAGAACTACCTGTTTTTTTCTTTTTTTATCTTTTTTATTAGAAAGCTGACATTTTTTCCAATCAATTATGTGAAGTTAAAAAATGGGACAACAATGGGTTTTCAATTAAATAAACAAAAAGTTTTTGAAAAGTTGGTTTTTTTATTTTCTTGATTGTAATCCCATTTTTAAAATTAACATAATTTGTTGGAAAAAATCTCATCTTTTCAATGAAAGTGATAAAAAATTAAAAAAAGAGGGAGTTTTTGTAAAAATTGAAAAATAAAGTTTATTTTTGAAGAAAGAGTAGTTAAAAATTTTTTCATAAAAAAGGAGTTTTTGTATTGGAAAGTACGCAAAAAATCGTATAAAATTCACTAGATAAAAATTAAAATCTGGCAAGTTTTGTCGAAATTATACAGATTTGAAATTAGTATAATCTCGCTTAAAACGGAATAACTAAATTCCTCATAAATTAAACAATTAATTTTTGGGTCAAACCATTATATTTCAACTAAAGTGGTCGCTGACTAATTTTTAAAAATTATAATACTTTGCAGGAATGATTTTGAAGTTATCAAGATCACGAAATGAAAAGAATTTTATTAAAAATTTAAATATTTATTGTAAAATATGAATTTAAAGTATATGAGGTGCTAAAAACTGTCAATTTTTTAGCCATTAGAAAATATGCAAAAAAACATAGAATTTACCATAAAAATAAAAAAAAATTATTGGAATTTACTAAGAATGAATAAATTTATCATTATCAATTGATATAATTATTTAAAGATGTGAAGTAATATATAAAATATGATTTCCAAGTGCACCTGTCAAATAACCTAATTTTGCGATTTTTATTCATTAATTATAAAAAATAGAAAACATTAAATTAAATAAAAACTTACCAAATATGAAGTTCTTGCCATAAACTTTTAGAATTTCTTTGCACTTTTCTTCTTTTCTATTCATAAGTATGAAAAATTTTAAAAATAAAATAGCTATTTTGTCTATTTTCACTATTTTTGAAAGTCAATAACTTTCTTGGAGAAAAATGAAGAAATATGGGGTTTCGAAAATTATTTAAATACACACTACATATACATTCACTGAAAATTTCGCATTGGTCCCGAAGCTATTTTCGAAGATAAAGTAAATTAAAAATTTCGTATTTTTTAGGCTATATTGACATGGGTTTTAAAGGTATTAAATCAATGTGAAGTTTGTCGTCACCAGTGAACCACCTTCACATTGATTTAAAATCCATGTCCATATAGCCTAAAAAATACGAAATTTTTAATTTACTTTATCTTCGTAAATAGCTTCGGGACCAATGCGAAATTTTCAGTGAATGTATATGTAGTGTGTATTTAAATAATTTTCGAAACCCCATATTTTTTCATTTTTCTCCAAGAAAGTTATTGACTTTCAAAAATAGTGAAAATAGACAAAGTAGCTATTTTATTTTTTAAATTTTTCATACTTATGAATAGAAAAGAAGAAAAGTGCAAAGAAATTCTAAAAGTTTATGGCAAGAACTTCATATTTGGTAAGTTTTTATTTAATTTAATGTTTTCTATTTTTTATAATTAATGAATAAAAATCGCAAAATTAGGTTATTTGACAGGTGCACTTGGAAATCATATTTTATATATTACTTCACATCTTTAAATAATTATATCAATTGATAATGATAAATTTATTCATTCTTAGTAAATTCCAATAATTTTTTTTTATTTTTATGGTAAATTCTATGTTTTTTTGCATATTTTCTAATGGCTAAAAAATTGACAGTTTTTAGCACCTCATATACTTTAAATTCATATTTTACAATAAATATTTAAATTTTTAATAAAATTCTTTTCATTTCGTGATCTTGATAACTTCAAAATCATTTCTGCAAAGTATTATAATTTTTAAAAATTAGTCAGCGACCACTTTAGTTGAAATATAATGGTTTGACCCTTTTTATAAAATTAATATTTTAGGATTTAATTCAACGATACCAATTACTCAATTTACATAAAATTTCACTTGTAAATCTTTTTTCTTTCTGCGACAGTATTATCAACATTTTCCTTTTGTTGCTCTTCCTGACTATAAATAAAACTAAACTTTTCTAAAAAGAAAATGTAGAAATTTCATATTTTTTTAGCTCGCTTTTTCTGTTGACCGAAGCCAAGGTAAAAATTTACGCTTCTCATCAATTTCGAGTGCAATTAAAGATAACACACCATTATTGTCAAATTTAAATAATGCAGTAACTGAGCACCAGGCATCTACATCTTTCAATTCGCTTTTGGAAAATCCACATTCCTCAATAATTTCAAAATCCATAAAAGAAAAAGCAGTTACTAAGCCTCTCGCATCTACTGCTTTCAATTCGATTTTGGAAAATTATAGCGAAGACTATGAGGAAAGTGAAGGTGAACAACATCTTGAAAAAGAAAACATCACTGGTCCTAAACTCATGGAAACAGAGGGTGTTGTTGAAGAGAACAATATGTTCATATTTACGAAAAGTACTGCCGGCGATAAGGTAAATGCTTTATATCTATTTAGTTTACATCCATTATCATGTCTTTAAAGATTCTATACAAATTCACATAAATTTGTATGAATCAATAAATATAATAATAGATATAAATATAAATAAATAATATATAATAAAATAATAACCATCCAAGTAGCACGTAATATTAAAGTAATATTTCTCCAAGTTTAAATATCCCCCCGATGGTAATATAACGGTAAAATTCAGTGAGATTACACGGTAATGTTACTGCACTGTTACTGGAATATTATGCGGTAATCTATAGTGAATAAAAATTGCAGCAAAATCCATATCTAATGATTAAAGAAGAAAAGTTTTCCTTTTTTCCTGATTACATTGACACTTTATTAAATTTCTTTGACAATCGTATTATATTACAGCAATGTTCCCAAAATATTACTGTAATATTATAGTAACATTACCGCGTAATATTTCTGTAATGTTCCTGTAGTCTTATGATAACATCGATTTTAATATTACAACCGTGGGAACATTTTAATATTGCAGTAATATTACTTGGTAATATTTGTGTAATATTACGTGCTACTTGGGCAATGAATAAAAATAAATATAATAAGTAGATTAAAAAATATAACGAATAAAATTTAATGTAAACTAATTTTTATTTTTAGGCTGTTGAATTGATCTCAGAGAGCGATGTATATATCGATAAAACCGTTTTGAAAGACTGCAAACGCAAAGCAACATCGCATAATGCATTAGCGCGAATGCTAATGTCCAACATTTTTACTGCAGAAGCACTTCTTCAATATAATTTGGAAACAAAAAAGAACAAGGAAGGACTTCCAAGTTCTGTCATTGACGTGATTTTAAGTAATTAAAATTTCAATCTTATTGCAGGGAGGCGAGAGACCAGGAAAATTGAGAACAGTCAGACAATTTTTATAGTCAGAAAAAAATCAGGGAAAAAAACGATGACGATAGTGACGATAGTGTCGTTCGGAGACATAGAGATGTAAAATTATGTTTAAAGTTAGAGAATGTTTATTTACTGCGTGGATCTTAATTACTTTTATTCCAAAAGTGCTATCAACTTTTGCTTATTTTTTATTTCCTTTTCTCGGATGGTTTCTGATAATTTTAAACCTAAAATAAAAAAATGGTCGAGGTAATGTTAGGGAATTTTCTCGACAATATTTGCTCGCCATCTTGACTACTCTTAATCTTAAAACTTACTATTATTAAATAAGTTGTGTAAAACAATAGAATTAATATTGGAAAATTTTTTTTAACAGAATATTGTATCAATGTAGCAAGGAAGAATGGATGGAGGCCGAACAATGATCGGGCAGTAATTGATAGTCTTCGCTCTAAATTAAAAGAAATAAAAGTAAAACATGCCCATAAAACGCAACCGAAAAAGTAAAAAAAGTTATTCAGTTTAATTATTTAATTAATATTAATGTTCATTTGATGGTACAATTTGTTCAAAAATTAAAAAATTAATAAAACTTATTGTAGGCTATATAGAGTTGTTGATTCAAATTAACCTAAATACTTGTTTGAGTTTTATTTTTACTATTTGAGTTGAAATTACCTGCAGAAATTTATCTGGATAGACCAATTGTAACCTCCTAGTTTATTATTTTTACTATTTGAGGGGAACTTTGCTCAAAACATTCACCTGGATATCTGATAGACAAATTGTGACCTGGTTTATCATTTTTCATATTTGAAGTGTACATCCCGGAAAAAGTTGACCTAGATTTACCTGGACAGCAGGTAGATAATTGTCGACCTGATGTTTTATTTTTGTCATGTTTAAATTCTTCAACATCGTTTGGAAAATAATTTTATGTTTTTCATATAAAAACAACAAAAAACAAGGAAAAAAAAAACAAAAAAAAAAAAAAAAAAAACAAGGAATAAAGAAATTATAAGAACAATAAATGCATATAACGTATGATATATATAACAATGCCATATGTAATTACTCACCTCAATGAACGTTTGAATGACATTAAACAAATCATAATCCCAATTTTCCAAAACAATATTTTCATTTTTATTTTTACATATTTCTTTGTATTCTTCAATTGTTGATGGCAAATTCTTCGATAGCGATCTTAATTTCCGACTATTCCTAATTTTATTGGTATTAATGCAAAATTCATTAATGGATAAAACATCTGCTACATACCGCAATTGTTTGTAACATAATAGTTTTATCTTATTTTCTGAAATGTTTATAAAGTTTTTCCTTTCATCATTACTAACAGGAAAATGTAACTGAAATAGAAAGTTATTTTTAAAATAATAACACCGTCCAAGTTTTATAAAAAATAATTAATATTTATAAATTTCGACCGCCATATTGGATCCGCCATTTTGAATTATCAAAACCTGACATCATATTCGTTATCAGCGATCCCAAAAACCTTCAAGTAACAACTTTCAAATGAATTGGTGAATTTTTATAAATTTTGACCGCCATATTGGATCTGCCATTTTGAATTTTGAAAATCTGACATCAGATTCGTAATCAGCGACCCGGAAAACCGCGAGGTACCAGGTTTCATAAAAAATTATTTTTTTGTACAAGATTTCCTATCACCTCTCATTTAAGGGTTGTTTTTACCCCTAAAAGCAAAAAATGACCTGATCTAGCAAAACGGCCAGACACGGGTATCTTTTTTTGGTCCTAGTTTCTGAAAATCATTGATTTTTTCGTGTGTGAAGAAGAAAGTTGAATTTTGTCGGACGGTGTAATATCATACATAATGTAATATTGTGTGTACAAACGTTTTAAAGTTCAAGAAATATGTTAATAAATGTTTTACCCTCATATTCAAAATGTCATTATATTCCATTAATTCATTATTAAATAAAATCGGATCATTTCTTCCAAATGCAATTGGTAAATTGATCTCTTCATTATCATCCTCTGTTATTTTAATTGAAATCAAATTGTTTGATAATAAAAATAATAATAATCTTTTTATTTGTTCATCTGACCATGAATATAACTTGCCAAAATGATTTGATGTATAAAATTTATTTAATAGAATGTCTATGGTACACGTTCCTTTGAAAAATGGGATGAAATTTTTATAAGTCAGAAATTTATTATCCACATTGCCATCTGCATTGCATCTTACAATTTTCACTGCAGTATTGTTACATGTGATATATGACAAATTATTTGCATGACGACAAATATCGCAATTTAAACATTTCCAATCAGGATCATTGAAAATTAGGATATTGTTTTCATTAAAATGCTCATGATCATAAAATTGTAGTAATTTTAAATACCGACAATCATTAACATTTTCACAGTATTGCAACATGGAAAGAAGGTTATTGATAAGTATATTTTTCGTTTGAACATTGTACAATCCAGATTTTATAATGTAATTCAATTTTCTATCAAAGTCAGTGTAGTTGTAGAATAGAATGTTCTTAGACATTTCATTGTCTCTACCACTTCTTCCACTTTCCTGTATGTAATTACAAAGAGAATTCGATAATTCATAGTGAATGACAAATCTGGTGTTACTTTTATCAATTCCCATACCAAGAGCTATTGTTGTGCAGATTACCTTAATGTCATTGCTTTTTCACTCTTGGAAAGAATGACTTTTCAATAATTCTGGTAGTTCTGCATAATATGCAACAGAATTAATGTTATGAGCATTTAATAAATTGTTTATACGTTTAACATTTTCTACTGTTCCACAGTAAATTATACCACTTTGATTATTATATTCCTCAGTTAATATATCTACAATTCTCTTATCTTTCACATTATTACATGTTATACGTAATATTGAATAATGCAAATTACTTCTGAGTATAGTGCCTATTATTCTAAAACATTTCAAAATAATTGTAGTAAAAAAATTACATTAATTAAGACAATGTGTTCGAGATACAATTTTTGGCATAAAAAATAATTATTCATTACCTTAAAAATATGTAACTCTAAAAAAATACTTACATAACTGCATCATTTAATAGCAAATCGTTTTGTAACTTTAAAATCATCCATTGATTCAATGTTGACGAAAAATAAGAAATTTGAATGTTATTGAAAATTTCTTTCAAACGTTGCAAGTGCAAATACTCTTGACGAAAAGTCATTCCCCAATCAATGTAGCAATGCACTGCATCCAATATTATTCGATTTATTTTAATATTCCTATATCCCTCCATAAATAATTGGAGAATAGGAATGTTCAAAAATAATTTTTCTGGGGTAATAAAAATAAAATTGTATTTCACTTCATCCGATTCGCCTTTTAAAAATTGTTGCAAATCATTGTTATCTACATTTTCATCATTAAATTTATATGCATTGAACTGTTAAAATTATTAAAAAAATTGTTATTAAACTTCAAAACATATTTACAATACATAATATAGTCATAATCTTACCCTCAAATTTGATACGTAATTGAATTGATCTTCAATTAATCTAGCAACGCTGATATTATTATTGCACACTTACTATTGGGCAAATCATTAACATTTAGGATACTTTCAATCACCTCCAATTGCACATCCCTAAATGAATCATGGTGAAATCTGGTTTGTAATATCATTTCCATTTCGAAGTATATAAAATATAAGTTTTCTTAATAAATGTAAGAAAAATATAGAGAATCACATACATACAACAACATGTTGTTTTGAAGAACCACATGTTGTTTGGTATATTAAATGTGAAAACAACATGTGGTTTTGAAATTGTCATTTTTCTCAAAAAACAACATGTTGTTTTGAAGAACCACATGTTGTTTTGAAGAACCACATGTTGATTTCTTTATTAAGTTTGAAAACAACATGTGGTTTTGAAATTGTCATTTTTTTCAAAAAACAACATGTTGTTTTGAAGAACCACATGTTGTTTGGTATATTAAATTTGAAAACAACATGTGGTTTTTAAATTGTCATTTTTTTTAAAAAACAACATGTTGTTTTGAAGAACCACATGTTGATTTCTTTATTAAGTTTGAAAACAACATGTGGTATTAAAATTGACATATTTTTTTTGAAAAATAACATGTTGTTTTGAGGAACCACATGTTGTTTGGTATATTAAATTTGAAAACAACATGTGGTTTTGAAATTGTCATTTTTTTCAAAAAACAACATGTTGTTTTGAAGAACCACATGTTGTTTGGTATATTAAATTTGAAAACAACATGTGGATTTGAAAGTGACAATTTTTTTGAAAAACAATATGTTGTTTTGAAGAACCACATGTTGCTTTATTTATTATATTTGAAAACAACATGTGGTTTTGAGATTGACTTATTTTTTTAGAAAACAACATGTTGTTTAAAAAACCAACATGTGTAGTTTCAATTGCAAATATCTCAAAAACTATTAGTGATATGGAAAAAATAATAAAACTTGAAATTAGAATATCTCAAAAACAACGCATCAAGATTTAGTTAGACTTTCAGGAAAGGTTTATTAGGATGTCTACTTTTACTATAAATAGGTTTTATTGAATTATTTTCTAATTTGCGAAACATTATGCTTTTTGAAAAAAATTAATTTTGTATAAAAATTATTTTTAATTAAATTATAATTCAATAAAATTTTTAATAGTTGTAAATACAATTAAATTTAAAATATATTAAGACATTATTTAAAAGAGTAAAAATTTGATTAAAGAACAATTTTGTTTAAATTAAAACTGTTTTTTATAATAATGTAACTAAAATTAATAATTGGTAAAAAGAAGTTTATAAGTTTAAAAAATTTGTTTTATATTTATAAATATTTATTTGGAAGTGATTATTAATTTAAAAATCTTGTTTATTTAAAATACAATTGAGTAAATATATTCTTAAAAATTATTATAATTAATATAAAAAATATAATAAAATAAAATGCACAGGATATCGTGCGTCCAGTCCAATTGGTTTGCTGTGCCTCGTTAAAAACATGCGTCAATAAATAAATAAATGTATCTGGAAAATAAAGAAAAATTATTGTTACATGCACAATTATATACATAAAAAAAATAAAAAAGTAATTATAATTGTTATAAAAGTGTTTTACTTACTTAAAAATTATTTAAAAATAAAATCAATCACGTCTTCTTCATTGTAAAATCAAAACCCTCCAGTTTAATTTGTCCCTTAATTTGTTTTATTTTCTTCCAACTCTTCGGCTTTAAAATATTTTGTTTTACTCGCCTTACCTCCGGGGTATCATCTATAATTTTTAATCTTTTGATTGGCGGCCCCCTTTTTGCTAATTCTTCATCACAACATTTGTCGAGGGCCGCCAACCCCGTAGGTCCGGAGTGTTCACTAATTTTCCTTTTAAAAGGGTTTCTCCGTTCAAAGTCATCTGTGGAAGCCACAGCATGCATTGTGGCTTCCTCGGGGGGCTGGAAGTGAACGTCCTCTTGAGGCGGGTATGTGTATTCTAAAATGATGTCGACGCTATCAAAATTATTCTTCATCAACTCGTCGACATCCTTTAAAATTGCTGAAAAGTAAAGAATAATTTTTGTTGAATTTAAAAAAAATTGAGATTAGGTTAGGCGACGTTGCGTTACAGACGCAGGTGACGGTAAAACTACGAAAGAATTTTAATACATTAACACGCCTCTAACGAAAGAAATTGCAAATACTCGTGCGTTTCAAAAATACGGGAACAAGGACAATCTGTCATTTTTATGACCGTGTTATGAAAATTAACTTTTTATTGATTGGTGATTCTTAAAGAAAAAAGTTTCCTCTA